GCCATACTGGGACTCCTAGTACCCTTTGATCTGGGCTCATTGTTGGTGACTCTCAGGGCTCCTACCAAGGACTTACCTAGATGGAAAGGAATTTCTTTAGTAGAAGTGTCCTTTCACTTTCTAAGAGAGCCTCTGAAATTGAGGACCTCACAGCTTACTGCAGGCCCTTAAGATCTAGAGGGATGGAGTCTGAGGGATGGAAGGAGCAGCATGGCAGACACTGTTTTGCATTTTAAGGAATGAACAGATGGGTCTCTCTCTTTTTTTCCCCCTCCTTATATAAGCTTCATTTTATTAAGTGTGGTTGAAACAGAAACTCTGGCACTTCAAGAATTGGACCAAGATGGCCTAGAAAGATTTCTGGCCCACCCTAAGCGTTCAAGACAACAGCTGGATATCAAATGACCTTACCTGAAGGAATGGTACAAACGAAAGAACTGAAGTAGGATGGTTTGGTACATTTTGTAGAAAGGTAAAGGTAAACCAAACATGCATGTGGCTGTCTTGGTGGCCCAGGAAGTCACGCCTGTGGCCATGGAAAAGTCAGGCTAAAGCTCAGCTGTCTCCATCGCTGTCTCCCAGGGTGTACTTGTCAAAGAGATACGCTGCCAGGCCAGAATCCGGGGGCCTTCATCTTGTGCAAGTTAGTTATATAGTCACCCAATTATTTAATGGATTTCACCTGCTGGTCCAGGTAATGCATTTCAATGAAGTGTCACAAGTGGGGGTCGTTCTTGTCAGTGGCCAGTTTGTGCAGTTCCAGTAGTGACTGATTCACGTTTTTTTCCAAGTGCAGTGCGCACTCCATTGCATTCAGCTCACTCTCCCAGTTATCCTGGTCTGGTTTCTTGATAGCAGGAAGATTCGACCACCTCGTTGGTTCTGCAGATTCATCATTTTCTCAGCATGTTCCTGCTCCTCATGAGATTGGTGCAGAAAACATATGTCAAAATTCTTCAAAGCCACATCATGGCAGTCGAAGTAGTAAGACATGGACAGGTAGACGTAGGAGGCGTAGAGCTCCAGGTTAATCTGGCGGTTGATGGCGGCCTCCAAGTCCTGGTTGTAGTATCTGGCACACCTGCGAGAGGAATGTTGTCGTCATGGCGGTGGTGGAGGAGAGGTGCATGGTGCCTTAGGGCATCAGAGGGCGTTAGGGTTAGGTTAGGGTTAGGGTTGGGCTGGAGGTGGTGGAGGGTGATGGGGAGCGGCTGGTTGGGGGAGGCTGGCGAGCACAGGGTTCCATTAAAGCACTGTTGAAGCAGAAGATGGTGGCGACTCTGCGAAGAACATATCTAAGTAACTTATTCTTGATAACAATCCAGATTAGAGAATTATGACTTCCAACATTTTCTATTCTCATCTCCATATTTTATTGAGCTCTGCTTTTCTGGCATAAAAAGAGGACTAGTTTCTTGTTTTTGAGTGTCAGTATCTGAGTATTGTTGTTGTTGTTAGGTGCCATTGAGTTGGTGTTGATTCATAGAAACCTTATGCACAGCAGAATGAAACACTGCCCGATCCTGGACCAACCCCACTATTGTTGCGGGCCTTGAACCCATTGATGCTGCCACTTGGCCAATCCATCTTTCTGGGGGTCTTCCTTGAAAGGTTTTTATGTAACATGTGCATTCCCTTGGAATTTGACAGAAAAACCCTTACCTCTTCCCTCAAGAATTATTTGTGGCAAGCCCACCTTAGAGCTCAAAATAAAAATATTGACCGTATCTCATTGTAGACTACTAAGATGTTTCATTACCTTCTGAATATAAGTATTGAAAGAGAAAGTAACAAATTATTTTGTAATTAGGTAACATTGAGTGTGTTCTGACTCAGAGCAACCCATGCGTAATAGCACACTGCCCAATCCTGCGCTATCCTCATAATTGTTGTTGTGTTGGAGCCCATTGTTGCTGCCACTGTGTCAATCCATTTGTTGTGGGACTTCCTCTTTTTCGTTGACTCTCCACTTTTCTAAGCATGATGCTATTTTTCTCTAGGAATTGATCCCTCCTGACAGTATGTTCAAAATACTAGAGACTTAGAGGTCTCACCATCCTGGCTTCTAAGGAACTTTCTGATTGTACTTCCTCCAAGATAGATTTGTATGTTCTTCTGGCTACCCATGGTACTTTAAATATTCTCCTCCAACACTGTAACTCAGATGCATTCTTTCTTCTGCAGTCTTCCTTATTCATTGTCCATTTATTGTTATAGGATCTGGTAGGTTTTTGTGATTTCTTACCCTATTCATACACAAAGTAGTAAGATACTTGACTGCTTGAAATTTTCAAGAATGACATATGAAATTGCTTTATGTAAAAGATGTATGTATTTAGAATTTGATTTAGAAACTGATAATGTCACATGGAAAATTGACATGTGAGTACTTCTAGTTCCTAATGTTTAGGTTACACAATATATTTGGAGTCCTGGTGTGGCACTGTGGGTTAATGCTCTGGACTGCAGTGTTGGTTTGAACTGCAAGGTTGGCAGTTCAAGTTCACTAGCCTCTCCTTGTAAACCCTATACAGGGTCTCTGTGTGTCAGAACCAACTGGACTGCACTTAACAATAACAACAGCAACACTATATTTGGCTTCCCATTCTTTCACCTTCATCAGCTGCACATCAAAGACACAAAGAAAATGTCATGTAAATTTCTTACACAGTAGAAGCAGAGGAATTCCCATCCTCAAGATGCTTATACAATTACTTCACATTTTCTAGTAGATAATATCCTTAATTTCTAAGGCATACTTAAATCACTCTTCAGAGAAACCTTCTGTTATCTGACTGATAGTCCTTTGTCTATTTTAAACAAAGAAAGGAGTTCAGAGGAACTTTTGTGACAATTGGGGTGATGGATTCTTTCTACCAGAGGATGATTTTGAGTCAAAGAATGAGCTCCCTCATCTCTTCTAACCTCCTTTGTTGCTGACTGGCTGGCCAGCTGTATTAAGGTATATATGTGAGAGAAAGTGGAAGTGCCTTGGGGGAGAGAAAGATGACAGGACAGATGCCCACATGTGCATGCACAATACAGAGATAGGAACTGAGGAAGGACAGCAACTCTCCTGTACCATATGTTCATTGCTACTACTGAAGTAGAAATGAAGGTTGAAAATGAGCGAGGGCCTTGATGCTTATTGCTATATCTGTCTTGTATAAGTAAAGTTTCCATACAACTTCTCACAACTGGACAATAAATAACATTATGGTAAATGGAGAAAAAAGATTGAAGTCGTCAAAGATTTAATTTTGCTTGGATCCACTATCAACACTCAATGGAAGCAGCAGTCAAGAAATCAAACAGTGTACTGCATTAGGCACATCTGCTGCACAAGACCTCTTTAATGTATTCAAGAGCAAAGGGTGTTAGTTTGAGGACTAATGTGTGTCTGACTCAATTCATAGTGTTTTCGGTCACCTCCTATGCATGTGAAAATTGGACAGTGAATAAAGAAGAGCATAGAAGAATTGATGCATTTGAGTTATGGTGTTGGAGAAGAATATTGAAAGTACCATGGATTGCCAGAAGATCAAATAAATCTGTGTTGAAACAAGTACAGCCAAAATGCTTCTTAGAAACCAAAATGGCGAGATTTCATCTCTCATGCTTCAGACGTGTTATCTGGAGGTATCAGTCCCTGGAGAATGATACCATGCTTGGTAAAGTGGAGGGTCTGTGAAAAAGAGGAAGACCCCCAGCAAGATGGATTGGCATAGTGGTAGCAGCAACAGACTCAAGTGTAACAATTATGAGGATGGCCTAGTACCGAGCATTGTGTTATTCTGTGGTACCTAGGGTCACTATGGGGCTTGAGGTATTTTTTTCTAGGGGATTTTGTTGTCCACTAAATCACATGTGAATTCTTTTGTTGGGCTTCCCACCCTCTTGTTGTACAAGAATGTTTTTCTTAATCAAAGCATATACCAAAAAGTATGCTGCTCAGGAATCCAAACTGGAGGAACCCATGAGAAATGTGTCTGTTCCCAGGACTGTTGGGTTTTGCCCTTTCCCCCTCAGTTCCTTTCACGCTCTCTAAAGTAAACAGTAGATTTGATTCCATAGAAACTGTATCTGTATGTATATAAGAAACTAAGTCTTTATTTTAGGTAGTGACCCTTTTTTTTTTTGTCATTTGCATACAAGCATTAGGTTTCATTCAGTCTATTGTTATAGACCCACATTAAGAAGTGTGTCCTATTTGGACTGTTCAAGCTACTTTTACCTTTTGGTTTGAATGATGTGCCTTTGTGATTTTGATTTATTTATTTTTTAAAGGTAGTGTCTTCTCCAGCAGATGTAGCTGAAAAAGCTGACAGAATTATTACAATGCTTCCCACCAGTCTGAATGCAATAGAAGTTTATTCTGGAGCAAATGGAATTCTAAAGTATGTATTTCTCAATGGATATTGTTTTATAATGTTCATGGATTTTATATCTGTTAGAACTGTTAGAAAATTTCAGTTATGTTTGTTAAACCTATTCTACACTGTCTTCTAATTTCTTAAAGTGAATGATGTGGTTTCTCTCTCATACAGATTTTGTTCTTCCACTAACATTCAGTATGTGACTGTGTTCTTCCTCCACTAACCCACTTTGGAGAAATAATGTTTTGCTCCTGTTTCTTGCCTTTAACTCTTTCATAGTATTTTGCAGTTTTCTTTGTATAGGTCCTTTGTTTCTCTGGTTATATTTATTCCTAAATATTTCATCCTTTGGGCGGCTATTGTAAATGGTATTGCTTTCCGAATTTCCTTTTTGTGCTGTCATTATTAGTATAGAGGAATCCAACTGATTTTTGTATGTTGATCTTGTATCCTGCAACTTTGCTGAATCTTCCAGTAATGTCTAGTAGTTCTTTTGCTGAGTCTTTGGGGTGTCCTATGTATAGGATCATATCATCTGCAAATAGAGTTTTCCTTCCTCTCTGCCAATTTGAATGCCTTTAATTTCCCTATCCTGCCGGCACATAACAACAACAACAACAACAACATCCTGCCTTATAGCTCTGGCTACAACTTCTAACATAATATTGAATAGGAATGATGACAAAGGGCATCCTTTTATCTGGTTCCTGTTCACAAAGGGAAGACTTTCAGTTTCTCTCCATTGAGAGTGATGGTTGTTGTTGGTGTTGTCTATATGCTCTTAATAATGCTGAAGAATTTCCCTTCAATTCCTACTTTGTTGAGTGTTTTTATCAAGAATGGATATTGGATTTTGTAAAATGTCTTTTCTGTATCAATTGATATGATCATGTGGTTCTTTTCTGTTTTTTAAAATTTTATATGGCGATTACATTGATTGTTTTTCTAATATTGATCTAATATTGCATCCCTGATATGAATCCTGCCTTTAACTCCTTTCTTTACACTTACCCTTTCACTGATATCAGGGTTAATGGATTTTTAAAGCTTGCATTTTAAACTAGAATACTTGTATGTACAGTTTTTCCAGTGGTTTATAGAAAGTCAGGAAGAGGATTCCATGAAAAAGAAAACCAAACTTAGGAGACAGCACCAATACTTGATACTTTAATATATAATGAAACCTGGGAGATTGGGAATTTGATGGTCTGCCTAGTTTTTTAGGGTCTTGTACATTTTTTGCTTCTGACTAGCTGCAGCTTACTGCTTTTCTGTTGCTCTCTCTTGGTGGAAAAGATTAGAATTTTCATTTTTATACAGGCTTCCACCTTATGTAGTTTCCAGCTTTCGCAGGTGTTACCTGGGAAAAATCACTGGCTGTCTTCTGGGTTAGTGTATCTGTAGTATAAGCTTTGGAAAACTCAAATGAAAGGTTAACAGCCATTTCCTATTTTTATTTTGCTCTGGAGCTCTGGTAGCGTAGTGGTTATGAATTGGGCTGTGAGCCGCAAGGTCAGCAGTTCGAAACTACCAGCGGTTCTGCGGGACAAAAATGAGGTGGTCTGATCCTGTAAAGATTTACAGCCTCGGAAACCCTGTGTAGGGGCACTATGAGTCGGAACCGACTCCATGGCACATAACAACAACAACTGTGAGTCTTTAGGTTAATTGCTGCTTATTGCCAAAGCCTTATGGTTTTATTAGGATCACAGTGGTTGAATTTCCAACTTGCTTTTCTGTTCTTGATTTCTATTTCGAACTTGTTTTGTTACTGGATTTCTGCAAAGAGCTAAACTAAATGGATAGGCCCTGTGGACTGATGAAGGACTAAGAGAAATTTAATTTTGTGAAACTAATATGTGGCATTTTAGGTTTTTGGAAATTGAGCTGTTTTGGAAAACAAACTTGGAAGCAAAAGACACTTGGAGATTAGGCACAAAATTGATAAGATCAATGTTTAGATTCCACCCTTCTGGTTGAAAACTCTTACTTTGGATGGAATCCACAACCCACAGAGTGTGTGGTCTTGAGAAGTGCTAGCCACCTCATTATGTAGTCTTTTCCAATTCTGGCCCTTGCCCTACCTCTTGGGAAAAAGATACTAAAAGCTCGTTTGAGGACATGGCCCTGCATTTACTAATATCCTGTACTGAGGAATATGGTACCTGGCTACCAGAACAATCTTGGCCAAGGAGTGCTTTGGAAAAATTTGCCTTTACATTGAACTGTAATTTGCTTTTCATGGGTTGTTGTTGTTGTTAAGTGCTGTCGAGTCTATTCCGACCCATAGCGACCCTGTGTAGGGTTTCCAAGGAGCAGCTGGTAAGCTTGAACCACCGACCTTGCAGTTCAAACGACTTTGCAGTCTGACGCATTAGCCCACAGCGCCACATCATGGGTGGTTCATTTTAATTCCCCAAAATCATTTCTCCATTCACAATACATGCGTAATTTTTAAAGGCAATTTCTCATTTGTTTTAAAGACTTAAGATCTTTAAAATATTTGTATCACAGAAGGCTAATAAACTGAGTCCTTATTATTTTAGTAACATGATATGAGACGCTACATATCGAGCATGCTGTTTCTTTTCTGTGGAATATACCCGTGCGTTGCATTTGAACTTGATGGATTCATTCGTCTAAATTTGTTTAAACCATTTTGTGTTTTATTTTTCTTTATGTTGTTGTTGTTAGGTGTTGTAAAGTCTGGTCTGATTCAGAGTGACCCCTGTATAGGATTTAAATTTTCACGGGAGCAGAAAGCTGAGTATTTTTCCCATGCTGCAGCTGGCAGGTTCAAACCATGAACCTTCTGGTTTGCAGTCTGGTGCTTATCCTATGGCACCATTGTGATTTTATTTCTATTTTTAGTAGTCTGTCCTCTCCACTCCCATTTCAGTCTTTATTTTCAGTGTTACTTTTCTAATCATAACTGATTATATGTTGTTTATGTTCTTAGATCTATAGTAAGAACTTTGGGAAATTTGAATTAAAGGTTACAATAGCCATGGAAACCCTATACAAGGTCACTATGATTTGTAACCGACTCAGTGGCACTTAACAACAATAGCCCTTTAAATCAATTATAATTTGGGTCAGAGTTTCCTAATCAGTGAAGGTAGACACTGCCTTCTAGATAATAAGGTGTGGTGCTGTCAGATCAGCACTGGGCTGCTTCATCACAGGTCAGTGGTTCAAACCTACCAGCTGCTCCTCAGAAACCCTATACAGTTAGAACTGACTTGACAGTGCTTAATAACACCAACATGTAGGTGTATGGAATCCTGGTGTGGTGCTGTAGGATAAGCATTGAACTGCTTATTCAATGCTTCAAACCCACCAGCCTCTCATCTGAAACCCTATTCATGGTCTCTTTGACAGATCCTATTCAGTGGCACTTAACAACATCTAGGTATATGTTCTGTACTTAAAAGTACAAACAAAAGAAGTTTTACTATAGAAATGCCATTTAAATGTTGATGTAAATATGATATGATGGAAAGACTGCTTCCCTTTACACACACACACACACACACACGCACACACACGCACGTAGATGTCAAAAAGTATTGCTACTAGATTGCAGTTTAGACATGCACGGGCTTACTCCAGTGATCAGTAAGATGACTGCAGTCAAATTCTCTCTGTAATACTCTTATCTTCAAAAAAAGGTCCAGTCAAAACAGCAACTTCCAGTCGGATCTACTGGGCCAATTAAATTCAAGACAGAGGGGTCAGCTTAGAAAGTTATGGTTACTGCTTTTTGGGACTCTTTAAATTTTGATAGATTTTCTCGCACGACAGAGGACAATCATGGGTTCTTATTAAGAAGTTTAAAGAAAATGGAAAACTGTATTGTTGACAGAAGGGCCTGGAAAGTTGTGCCCAGAAAATTTTCCCTTCACAATGTACCTGCTGGTTCTCTGAGGGTAGTGAGGACTGCTCTCTGAGAATTTCAGTGGGAGACCTTATCCTACAGCTTTGAACTTGTCCCTTTCTGATGTATTTTTGTTCCTCAAACTCAAAGAACATTGAAAAGGAACATAATTTGAGCCCCCTCTTGAGGATGCAGTACTGTTTGGACATGGTATAAATTGAAGAGCACAGAAGTTTTCAGGGAAAGGTTATAGAGATGGAAACACTGCCTTCAGAAGTGTACAGACCTAGATGGAGGGTATGTGGAGATACAATAGCATCACATTTGGTATTTTTGTTAATTAAGGTTTTTATAGCAGTAATTTTTGACTTACCCATGTGTATGTGCTTATGTGTGTGTCTATATGCCACACACAAGAGGGGACTCCACAAAGTTTGTGGGAAATGGAATTGAAAGATAAACTTTTTGCTCGAACTTTTTGAAGCCCCCTCATGTGTGTATGTGTATGTATTTGTGTGTATGGTTGCTAAGTGGTGTTGAGTCGTTGCTGACTCATAGCAACCTGTTTTACATATATATATGGAAGCACAGTGACTTTAGGTGGTGGTTCGAGCCCACCGCTGTTGATGATACTTTCTGTTTCTGCGAAAGATTTACCTCCTCAGAAATCCTATACAGGGGCGTTCTGATTCGAAATCTACTTGACGGTGCTTAATGATTGTATGTATCTCAAGGAAAGGAGTCTTTATAGTACCCAGAGAATAAAAGAACGTGATCTGGCTATGAGGTTTCCAGGTTCATTTTTCTTTCTACTTGTCTGATTTCTTGTTTTGTCTTTACTTGTGCTTTTTTGACTATGCAAAGGCTTTTGATTGTGAGGATCATGATAAGCTATGGACAACATTGCGAAGTATAAATATTCCAGAACACTTAATTGTGCTCATGAGGAATCTGTACATGGACCAAGAGGCAGTTGTTCGAACAGGACATGGGAACACTGAATGTTTTAAAATTAAGAAAGATGTACGACAGAGTTATATTCTTTCACCATACTTATTCAACCTGTGTGCTGAGCAAATAATACAAGAAGTTGGGCTCCCTTAAGAAATATGTGGCATCAGGATTGGAGGAAGACTCATTAACAACCTGCGATATGCAGATGATACAACCTTGTTTGCTGAAAGTGAAGAGAACTTAAAATGTTTACTGATGAAGATCAAAGAGCACAGCGTTTGGTATGGATTGCATCTCAATGTATAGAAAACAAAAATCCTCACCACTGGACCAATAAATAACATTCTTATCAATGGAGAAAAGATTGAAGTTGTCAAGGACTTCATTTGTCTTGGCTCAACTATCAACACTTATGGAAGCAGCAGTCAAGAAATCAAATGATGTATTGCATTAGGCAAATCTGCTGCACAAGACCTTTTTAAAACGTTGAAGAGCAAAGATGTCAGCTTGAGGACTAAGGTGTGCCTGGACCCAAGCCACGGTATTTTCAATAACCTCATATGCATGTGAAAGTTGGACAGTAAATAAGGAAGACCATAGAAGAATTGATGCATTTGAATTATGGTGTTGGAGGAGAATATTGAAAGTGCCATGGGTTGCCTGTAGAACCAACAGATCTGTGTTGGAAGAAGTGCAGCCAGAGTGTTCCTTGGAGGCCCAGATGGCCAAACTTCGTCTCTCATACTTTGGACATATTGTGAGGAGGGACCAGTTGCTGGAGAAGGATATCATGTTTGATAAGATGGAGGGTCAGAGAAAAAGAGGGAGACACCTAGCAAGATAGATTGGCAAAGTGGCAGCCTCAGTGGACTCAAGCGTGGCAACAATAGTGAGGTTGGCCCAGGATCGGGCAGTGTTTCAATTCTGCTGTGCATAAGGTCGCTAAGGGTCGGCACTGACTCAATGGCACCTAACAACAACAACAGCATGCCACCCTGAAGCAAATGGTTCGCTTTCAATTGCTTATGTTTATTCTATCTAGTGGAAATAAGATTTGCAATACTATTTGTTAAATACAAAAAATTACTTTGTAAAGATCCAGCTATTTTGCAAACAAATTGAGTCCTATCCAATAGCCTTTTTAAAGTTTATCAGTGCTTTAAATTGCATACATCTTTTGCTTTCCTGATGATGTCATGGCTAATATGCCCTTCACCTAAAGCCAGAATTTAAACCATTTAATAGATTAAAAAATTCATTTGAAAGAGTTTGAGTTTACTTTGAACTTTAATTGATCAAGCAGTCTTGACAAATAATGGTTCTAAATACTAAATCAAAGACTTCATCTGGTAGCTTTTTATAGATTTTGATTCTATAAGTGATTATATGAAATGTTTGTTCAGAGTTGTAAACCATAAATATTTTCATTAATATACTTAGGAACGTGAAGAAAGGCTCATTATTAATAGATTCCAGCACTATTGATCCTGCAGTTTCAAAAGAATTAGCTAAAGAAGTTGAGAAAATGGGAGCAGTTTTCATGGATGCCCCTGTTTCTGGAGGTAAGTGGTAGCTGAAATATATCTATCTGTCTGTCTGTCTTATCTATCTATCTGGAGTCCTGGTGTGGCGTTGTGGGTTAATGAGCCAGACTGAAAAGCCATTTGAACTGCAAGGTCAGTGGTTCAAGCTCACCAGCTGCTCCTTAGAAACCCTATACAGGGTCTCTATGAATCGGAATGGACTAAACAGCACTTTACAACAACAACAACATCTATCTATCTATCTATCTATCTATCTATCTATCTATCTATCTACACACCTACTTCTGATTGTCAAAAGTAGCAATTATGGTTTATGGTACTTACCACGTTTCCAGTTATGTTTGGACTTGTTGCAAAATTCCTAATTTCCTTACTAAAGATAAAAACAAACCAAAACTGATTTACGTTATTTAGTACTGGTTTGAAATTGAGATTAAAATATTTAAGAGGTGTGAATTTTTGGTTCAAAATGTTCAACGTAGAAATAAATCAATTCCTAGGAAAACTTACCAGGATTGATTCAAGAAATAATTAGCTTGAATTATCCTGTAACTGTTAAAGAAACTGAATAGTGGTAAGAATAAGGAATCTTTCCATTGAGGAAATATTGGACCCTGATGGTTCTAAAAGTGAGTGTTACCAGAAGTCCAAGGAGCAGATCGTCTCACTTTTGTGCAGACTTTTCCAGATGATGGTGAAGAATTCTTTCCTAGCTTGGTGTGTAAGACTTACATAGCTCTGATGCATAAACTGATGAAACATTATGAGAGAGAAAAATTACAAGTTTATTGCAATCATGAGTATGGAAGTAAAAAGTATAAAAAAGGTATTAACAAGCCAAATCCAACCATGTGTAAAATAGATTGAACATGCCACCAAGTTTTGTTTGTGTTATGTATGCACAGATGGCTTAATATTAGAAAATTCACATGTATGGTTCACTATGTTATTATGTCGTGTTAATTTTGTATAACACGTTTATATGTTTTATGATACTTAGTCATTTCCAAATTTTCTAAAATTACTATGTAGTTAGAAAATATATACATTACATATATACTTTAGCAGTATAGCAATAGACAATGGGATAGCAACTTTATTCTAATTACACAAAACTTGATTATGGCATTTGAAAGTAAAAAGTAGCCCAATATAATAACTCCATTTAAATTTTTCATAAGGAACTTAATTGTCCTGTTGTAAGGGTATTTCTGCCAACCTCATGGTCAGCAGTTCGAAACTACTACTGGTTCTGTGGGAGAAAGATGAGACGTTCTCCTCCTATAAAGATTTACAGCCTCGGAAACCTTATGCAGGGTCACTATGAGTCGGAACCGACTCCATGGTACTTACCAACAAAAACAAGAAGGGTAGTTTGGAATCCTGGTCTGGCACTGAAGGATAAGTTGTTGTTGTTATGTGGCTTGGTAAGCAGAGTGTGAGTTGAGCGTCAGCCCCTATCACTCCTGTGTCTGGATACGCTTGTGCAGTACATATGAGATACGGTACCATCACGTAGTTGTTCTGTAGAGCTCGTTGATTTTAACTACTGTGTAGTATTCTTCTATAGGAATACACCCCCTTCTATTTCTCTTTTCTACTGTGATGTACACTGGATTATTTCCATTTAAAAAATATTACTCATGTTCATATGCATTATGAAAGTATGCCTTTTTTGTCTATATTTCCCAAGCACAATGCTGAAAACATAGTTGAGCTTCAATAAATGTTTAAAAACTTGGCTTGAGTTCAGTTGAAAAAACGGTCATATGAGATAAACAGACAAGTAGTGATAGTCCCATTTTACCAAGGATGGAAGTAGCACCCCGAGATGTTCATTAACTTACCTCAAGATTACAGAGTTGATCCTGGGCAGAAGTGAAGACTTGTATGATGTTCTTTTGAAGGAGCCTTGGTGGCGTAGTGATTCATTAATCAGCTACTTACCAGAAAGTCAGCAGTTTGAACTCACCAGTGGCCTTGCAGGAGAAAGATGTGGCAATCAGCTTCCATAAAGATTGACAGCCTTGGAAGCCCGATGAGGCAGCTGTACTCCGATGGGGTTGCTATGAGTCGGAATTCACTCAGTAGCTGTGGGTGGGTTATGGTGGTGTTTGTTTCATATTCCCCCGGCATTAGGAAACACTGTTTTCTATGTTGTTGTTGTTATTAAGTGCCATCAAGTCAGTTCTGACTCATAGCAAGCCTATATAGGGTTTCCAAGGAGCAGCTAGTGGGTTTGAACCACTGTACTTGCGGTTAGCAGTCCAATGCTTAACCAGTTTATTCCAAGAGGAAAATAAAGATGGCTAAATAGAAGGATGTCCTTTAAGTGATAAAATCATTCTCATTATTTGCTTAAGATAGTTCACAGTTAGTACATTGTTGTGTGCAGTGTAGTCACTTCCTACTTACAGTGACCTAGGTAGCTTTTCCGAGGAGCAGCTGTAGGTTAAAACCACTGACCTTAAGGTTAGCAGTCCACTGTGTATCCTAAGTGTCCCACCAGGACCCCACTAGTCGGTATAGTATACTGTTAACAGTAAAGCCCCTCAATGAGTCACCCCTCTCTGAATCCACAACCTCTATCTACTCTTCACATCGGCTCTCGGCTTGGCCCTGTGACTTGGTCTGGCATGTGACACATTAGCCAATCAATGTTACACAAGGAAAAGCTTCAAAAGTACTTTGTACATTGAAGCTTGCCCTCTCTTCTTGCTGGGAACTCTTCTGCTGCCGTATAAAGAAAACTTGTCTAGTCCGCTGGAGACATGTTGTACCTATCACCAAGTGTTGGAATGAGGTCGTCTTAGCTATCCAGTTCCAGTTGAGATGACTGCAACTGCATTAGGGACCTCAGACTCGATCGGCAGATGAACTGCCCAGCTAGCCCAGGCTAAATTGCTCAGCTGTACAATTGTGAGCAATAAAGTCATCGACGAGTTTTGGGGTGGATATAATACAGTGTATACAGTACTGTACAGAACGCTCCTTGGAAGCAAGACTGGGAAGACTTCATGTCACACACTTTGGACCGAGCTCCTGGAGTCATGCTCGGTAAAGTTACAGGATCAGCAAAAAAGGGGAAGACACCCAACGAGATGGATTGGCACAGTGGCTGCAACAGTGTGCTTAAGCATAGCCACGAATGCTGAGGATGGCACAGGACTGGGCAGTGTTTCTGTTGTACACGGGGTCACTATGAATTAGGACCAACGCAACAAACCTAACAACAAAAACAGTAACAGCAGACAGCAGTAGGCAACATGCATCCAATATAACTGCTATTTCCGTAATTATGAAAAAGTGTTTAATGCTATTTATAGTATCAGTGTACTGTGTCTTGTTAGTATAAATGTTATAAATTTTGAAGAATTACTGTAATACAATTAACATGAAGGTTAGCTTTAATGCCAAAGTTAAGTTGCTTGGGTGAGGTTTTATTATGTCAGTGTATAAGTTATTGTATTTGCTGTAAATTCTTCTCTGGCTTATATCTCTGCATTTCTGATTATGAAGGAGAGTGTTTGAGTAGATGGTATCTAAATAACTACCTTGGTGAGTTGATGTAAGATGTAGAAAAGTAAATTCATGAAAATTCAGTAAAAGTAGTTGTGGTGTTCTAATGGACTGTGGGGTCAAATAGTAATTAAGTCTTTCTTTTGCTAGGAGTTGATTTTTTTTTTTATTAGAGGAGACTGTATCAATATATTAGTTCTACTTTGTTATTTTATAATTGAATATTATAAATTGAAGTACAAAGATGGTTTGTCTAGTGTTCTCCAACTTGGTAGTAAATCTAATTTCCTAACTCACTCTTAGGTTCTCTACACACTCTGTAAGACCTTCTTCCCGGAGTCCTACCCTATGGTAGCCTTCTGTTTTTTTCATACCAGTTTCCTACTAATGATTCCATTCTAACAGTTTTCTGTATCACAGTGGCTGGCCTCCTATGTACATCTGCTTGTTGATAGTTACTGACATGCGTTGAAACCATGAGGGGTCTTTCCTTATTTTCTAACTCTGAGAGACTGGTTTCTAATCTGGAAGAAGCCTAATGTTTTTGTTCTAAAGACGAAATGGCTAAGAATCCATTATTCTTCAATCTGGAAAACCCAGGAGAGACCAGGTCAGTTCTCTTTTTTAAAGCCCATTTGGGGATGTTCACCTGACTCTCTGGGTTCTTTTGTTCTGTGGATGGATTGGAATTGAAGTGGAGTTTTTTTGAGTCTTTTCTGTTTGGGTTCCATCTGCTTGATGCGGTTTTATCCAATCAACCTCTCTAGGAGGAATGAGTAAAGTGATCATCCTGCCATGTCCCTATTTGGGGATAGAGAGAGTATTAACAAAAAAATAATGTGTTTGATTCTGACTAGGACAGGATCTGTTCAGAGGTATCAGGACCTGAAAGGTGTCCTGGTGTGACGCTGTAGGATAAAGCACTGAATTGTAGGATCTGTGGTTCAAACCCACTAGCCACTCCTTGGAAGCCCTCTACAGGGTCCTTATGAATCAGAACTGACTCCACAGCACTTGACAACAACAACATACCTAAAAGGAGAGAGATTAGAGGAATGTGTTCTGTAGCCATGGGAGGTTACTTCTAGTGCTTTTCTTCTGTGTTCCCATGGTACAGTATCCGTGCTAGTGCTGGCAGCACTGTGTTATAATTAGATTTTGCCTACTTTTTTCTGTAGACTCTGAAGAGGCCAGAGACCATACCTAATTCAACAGTGTCTCTATTGTTCAAGCATTAAACAAAGCAGAACTGATTGGATCAAGAATTTTTTGTATTTTTTCACTTCCAGATTAATAGTAAATATTTCCAGCCATCTTTCAGTTACCCCTCACTCCTACACTTCACTCCAGGTTACTTATCTTTAGATGATCTGCCTCTTTCTGAAATTAAACTGAATTAACTGCCTCCACATTGTTCATTCCATTATCAGTCAAGTAGTAAGTATGTACTGGGTTTAATATGCATTGCAATATTAAATGTTGCTGGGGAGTTAAGGTAA